GTACACAGTACTAGTTGTAGTACACAGTATGTGTTCAGTACTTCTGGATAGAACCATGGTATTATTATGGTACACAGTAGTAGTTGTAGTACACAGTACTAGTTGTAGTATACAGTACTAGTTGTAGTACACAGTATGTGTTCAGTACCTCTGGATAGAACCATGGTATTATTATGGTACACAGTACTAGTTGTAGTACACAGTATGTGTTCAGTACCTCTGGATAGAACCATGGTATTATTATGGTACACAGTACTAGTTGTAGTAAACAGTACTAGTTGTAGTAAACACTACTAGTTGTAGTAAACAGTACTAGTTGTAGTAAACAGTACTAGTAACATCTGTACCACAGAACAGAACCAGTTCAGACCCACACCATCAGAACCAGCTGAACAGAACCAGCTGAACAGAACCAGCTGAACAGAACCAGCTGAACAGAACCAGTACCTTTTGGACACGTCCATCAGAACACCTGAGAACACCTGCTCTCCGACCCGGAAGGAAACGACCAACGCGTCATCGATCACGTGATCCAAGCAGACCCGAACCTCGGATCCTGGACTCAGGTCTAGAACAGAAGTGGGTTCTGGTCCGGTGGGGTTGGAGGACGGGTCTAGCAGCACCTGGACCGCTGGTTCCTCCCGGCAGCCGGTACCGGGTTCTGGACGCTCTGCGGTTCCGTCCGCGGGCCCGGGACCCAGATCCGCCTGCATCAGACCCAGGTAGACCCGGTCTGGTTCGGCTGCCTCGGCCCGGTCTGTCGTCCCGTTAGTGGTGGGTTCTGCCGGTTCGGCCAGAGACAGTCCGGCCTCGGTACCGGGCGGGGGGTCCGGCAGGGAGTGCAGGAAAACCGCGGAGTGCTGCGGGTCCGGCAGGATGGTTCGGTACGACCCACGGCTGTCCGGACTGACCCGGTCCATTCGGTCGGTCCGGTCCAGCAGAAGCCCGCTGTCCGGGCCCCTTCCCGCCTCGGGCTCAGACTCCGGCCTGTCATGGCGGCCCTCTTCATGGTCCTCCAGCTTCCTGCACGGACCGAACTCTGCCGGACCGTCTGGTTCTGAATGTCCTGGACCTACCGGACCCGGTTCTGCTGGTCCACCGTCGTCCGTTGCAGCGGTCGTTGTTGTTATTGTCGGAACCGCAGCTTCTGGCTCCGAAGCCACGGCGGCCATTTTGTTCCGCTGTTGTGCTGAGCGGTGAATAGGCTCCGCCCCCTGCTCCACACTTTGTCTTACTGCTATTGGCTGAAAGCCCCGCCACTCAAAAGAGACCAAGCACGGTGATGTTTGTGATTGGCTCATTGGGCTGCGTCTGTATGACGTCACAGAGCAGYCAGAGGCTTTATTTACAACAATTAGATCAATATTTCATCAATAAAACAATATCTGGTTCAGACTTCAGTCCACACATACAGCAGTCATTCAAGACTTTAAAACATAAGATGTAAAATTAAAATACTAAATGATTCATAACAAGTATAAATACATAAAGGTTTAAATGAGCTTTAAATAAAGTATAAACTGTGTTCTTCATCAAAACCTCAGAAAATACAGAGTTTTACCTTGTAAAGTTTATTAATGATGAAAATATAGTTTTACCTTGTAAAGTTTATTAATGATGAAAATATAGTTTTACCTTGTAAAGTTTATTAATG